ACTTTTACAAGATGCCTGTGTGCTTTGTACCAGGTTGTAATCACAAAAGTGATCATACCACTTGCTCGTTCTATCGCTTCCTGTCTGGTGAAAGGACCAGGACCAAACATATCAGGTAATATACATGTTTTGCATGGAACATAGTCAAGTTAGCTACCTAGCTAGTAGCGAGCACGTTAGTTAGCAATACATTACATTACTTAGCCTTGTCATTTGTATTAGCCTTAACATGAAGTAAACCAAAATGTTAAACAGTAGAGTAGTCATGATGGTAAGTATTTTGTGAAACATTTGAAGAGGGGGCGGGAGGTAGGCTAACGCCACATTAGCATCGGGGATCTTTTCTACTTCATGCTATCTGCACAAATGGTTAACGTTGAACATTAAAATATCAGGCAGTTCAGGGAGAGTCAAAGGAAGGCAGGCAGCTTTGCATGACATTCTTCTGGACGTGTTTCATTGTGATGATAGTGAGGGTGAGTCAATCTGTTTGTTGGAAAGACAGTAGTTGAGTGATTACTGAGAGAAAATTATTAAAAGAGATAATTATTCAAAGTGTTGTTACTTTAAAGTGTTGTTACTGACCTTTTTCTCTTTTATTTTCTTTACCTCACCTGTAACTGCTGAGACCCTGAGGAACATGCACACTGACCTGCTCTGGCAACCTGATTTCCACTGTACGTAATAGTATTTGGTTATGGTATATTATTTATATACATCAAAGGCACAATGCACCCCCCAGAGACACACATGTATTGAGTGTGATATTTTGCATTGGTCATGTGAAATCATCATTAAATACTAGAAAACTGTAGGAGCGGCAACTTGTTTTGAAATTGAATTTTTAATATCCGATAATAAAGTTGATCTGTTTTCTTTATTCTTCTCTCTTCCCAGCTCCATCCATCACCATTCTCTGTTCCTGCAGGTCCTGCTTGCTAATCAATGCTCATATTTTTTACACAATTACAAATAAAGTCAATGTATTGTATGACATGAAGTTGTGCTTCATTCTGAGTCAATAATAAATTCATTCTGCCTTCAACTGCAAAATTATTGTGGACTGCACCGACATCCATGTAGCTGCNACTTTGGATTCGCTCCATCCATCACCATTCTCTGTTCCTGCAGGTCCTGGCATTGACTTTATTTGTAATTGTGTAAAAAAATATGAGCATTGATTAGCAACCAGGACCTGCAGGAACAGAGAATGGTGATGGATGGAGCGAATCCAAAGTGAGTTTATTGGAGCAATCTCTTATATTTATTGGAGGGAATAAATCAGTTATGAGATCTTCTTCTTCTTTGCTTTAATTGCGAGTCGCAACCAGTCTTGGAGCATTATCGCCTATGACATCACTTACGCGACCCAGAATGCGATTTGGGATTTGTAGTCTTTCTAGTTGCGTATTTTTCATAGTCTTATATTTCAACAGTTTTACGACAAACTGACTTTTTTTACATGGAAATGATTGTTTAAGATTGACAAACATGATATGTGTCATTCGTGGCACAATTCAAACGGGATCAAAAGATTGACTTCAATGTATAATTTTCCGCTTCCGGGGTCCCATGGAGGCTCCCGGAAGGGGAGGGACTTCGCCTCTCTATACTGGAACAGGAGTTATGTGTCTGTAGGGGATGGGGGAACATTCTTACAGTGGTCACTCGTTTAATTTCTGTCCAAAATAACATCCTTGTCATAGTCCAGGGCTCGACAGTAATGGTTGCCAGGTTGCCATTGGCAACCATTCAGAAAAAATTTCAACCACTTCTTGGCCTTGGGTTGCCATCAGTGGCAACCAGTTTTTAACATAAAGAAATAAGGAAAGCAAACAGCTAAATGTGCACCCCAAAAAAGATAAATGTTAATTATTTGTTGCATTAAGAGTGATATTTAATTATTGTTGTGACCAGTCGGAACCTGATACCTAAATTTCACGTGCATTGGTGTGATTACGGAGCCAGAAAGCGATGCACGTTTACTCGCGTGCGCGGTGCGCCGTGTGTTTGTTTTACAAAAAATGCCGAAGCAAATTAAGTTGTTTGAATGTGCGGTAAAAAGTTCGGCCAACACGTCAACTTCTCAAACGAATGTTCAAAGTGATTCAACTGATAAAGCGTAAGGTAAACCCGAACGAAAAGCAAAGAGGAATGTTGTCCATTCACTTCCGGTAAAAGTTCCTTCAAAATAAGAGTCCCGATCTTATTACTACCAAAATAAAAGTGTAAAAACGACATGTTACCATAGGAAAATATTGGCATAAAATTATAATCACTTATATAAAAAGGTAACACATTTTAAAAATATAGTTAGACATATTAAAGGTAATTTACAGCATTAATAATTAATATCTAATTCTTAACTGTGAATGGTTTTCATTTATTTAACATGTATTAGTCTGGCCAATCCAAGACTTCAATGCTGAAGGGCCAATGGATCTATGGTGGGGATCAGCACAAAGGTCAAAATAACCCACATTTGAAAGGGAGATAACAGTTGACCAAGAAACTAGTGACTTGGTCAATTAATTTTTTGGGGATCTGTGAAGAACATGACAACAGTTGCACTACTGGTATTTTGTATACCAGCAATTGAGGGTGGACAAGTTTAAGTTTAAAACTTAAGTTTAAGTTTCAATTAATTGTGTTAATTACTTATTGTAAAGCATTTGAACATTCTTTTGTGTCACATTGTCATTATTAAGTTGATGTATAACTGTATAGTATCTTAACTATTTAAAATATAAGGTGTCTAAAAATGGCAACCGTATTTTCAGTTTTGGCAACCAAAAGCTAATGCCTGGTTACCAGCCTGGCAACCACTTTTAAAAGTTAGCGCTGAGCCCTGGGTTACACCTTTACTACTATGAGATGTCACAATGTCTGTTTGACAATTACAACAATAGGGCAATAGGCACAATTTGCATGACACACTACAAGGTACTTGCATGTGTTTGATTTACCAACAGTGTGGTGCATTGCATTACAATCGAAATACAGTTTTGTTCTTTTAGATGTTGAAGCTGGGACATTCTTTATTGAGCCATGGGTTGCTGCTTTGGTACAATTCATATACTGTTTCATTTTAGCCAAACACACTCTACAAGCAGGGATGCTCCGATCGATCGGCTGCCGATCGATATTCACTCTATTCCGATCGATCGGTGCTCTCTATAAAGGCCGACCGGGAGAGCCAATCACATGACGTAAAATACATGACACTTTTCTCTGTGCGCGGCAAAACAAGCTCTCCAAAATGGCTTCACCAGTCTGGCAGCATTTTAAGGTGTCCGAAAAAGACAGTAAAATAGCGGAATGCAACGTGTGTGAAGCAGAAATCCTGCAGCTCCACCCGCTGTGACTGACCGGTGAGCAGAGCGAAACACACACTGAGAGTTAGACCTAACACACTTAGCTATTTTATCTACCTCTGGAACAAGCTAAACTAGTTATAAATATGTTTATTCTTCACTGTCACTCATTAATGGAACAGTGAGCTGCATGAGATACTGACGGGCTGTCAGGAGAGAGAGAGAGAGACTAATTTCTCCCGTGTTATTATCCAAAGTTAGTGTAAACTTAAATAATGTACATCATTTGAATGTAATAATTATGTTGGTTGTTGTTTGTGGAAGCGCCAGTGAATGAGCCCCATTAACTGAGTTTTAAATGGAAGATCCCCATAGGCCCAGCCCACTCGATCGGATCGGCAAACGGCCGATACTGATTCCGGCGATCGGCCCCAAAATTGGCGATCGGAGCATCCCTATCTACAGGTATGCTCATTGACATATCTGCTGCCAGACATCTGCAAAACAATTTATTGTGATTGGAACACAGCTCATTAATGTCAATAAAAGATAAAGGTAATTCCTTGGCAGAGCTCCAACCAGCGCTGTTACTGTGCTTGGCAGCACCTGAGAGCATAAACATGACATTCACAACTAGTGTTGTCTGATGCTATTAGTGACATATAAAATGAGGGAGCATTGACAGCAATATCTAAAGCTATCCAGTATCTATTTCCAGTTAAATGTACCGTAAGTAAAAAGTGTTAATAGGACAATCTGTTTTTTATGTATTTTCATTAGTGTAATCATGGTCATAGTTCAGCATGTTCATTCTAACAGGGGGGCCATTGTAGCTGACCAGGAAGTGGGTGTCAAAAACAAATGCATCTGGGTGTGACAGGGGACCCATTTGAAAGTCATTGCATTATCACAACAGTGATCCTAAATACAAAGGCCCTTACAGAAACACTGTATCAGTCTGGGACAGTCATATATAGTCTATTTGGCCTGAAGCCATGGCGTCTATGTTTGAGTAATGAAAACAGCTAAGAACCGACCGCAGTCAGTAACTGTCGGAACATATGGTACATGTAATTAAAGCTATACAGTAATGTTTGCTGTGTATCCTTATAACCTCACATGGTGGGATGTTGAGCAGCAGCCACTTTGGAACTCTACTCTGATTTCCCAACCCTCGACTTCCTTTTTCTACTCGTGTCTCCAGATCCACTCCTTGAGATTCCATCACATCCCACGTACATGTAAACCTAAAACCTGCCTGCCTGCATCCTCCATCACTGCCCAGCCTCCCACCACCTCTGCGGGATAGCGTGATCATTTTCTTCAAAGAATGTATGAGGCGTTGGGGACTTGGAACTCAAGGGGACATACTCCCCCAGAACATCTTTTATTCTAGCAGTGTTGAACCAAGAGTTTGTTTATAGACGATACCATCCTTCTGACATTCGGCCCTATTACATTTCCTAACTTTTCCAAATGGGCTATCTGTTTGAAGGCTCCAGCATCCCATTAGTTGGCTGATGGTTTTTTATAATCTAAATTGACCTTCTATAAGTGCAGGCAACCAAGAGGATACAAACACAGGAAAGAGAAATCCATCAAGTAATTACGCTTAAAACATTTAGAGTGCTAGAACAGCAGGAGCTCCAAACTTGTATTTAATCTAGTGCTCAAATTCACTTAGCCAAATCACCTATTCATGGTGTTTTAACAAAATTATGCAGCTTTACAGAAGCCTTCTATCCTCCGGGTTATTGAGTTTATCTCCTCTAAATCAGCCTGTATCAGTTTCTGAACACTGGCAACATTTTACAAAGCCTAACCCTTAGCATGGGCCTGTTAAACAAGGCTCAGAAGTTTCACACTGTTCATGTGGCGTTACATAATGCAGCTTTGGCCCAGTAATGGCCTGGTGCATAGACGTAACTGGTTCCAGGACTGTCCAGACAGAATCCTTACAAAACCTGCTGGTTTTGAACTGAAACTTTGCAACTGAGCTCCCTGCGTGCTCTGTGGATCGCTGACAGACGGACGACATTTTTAACTGCCTCTTGGCGACTGCAACAACACTGATGAGCAAGGACTGGTGGAATATCTATTTAGAAGGCCAGGGGGTAAGCCTATCTGGTTCCCGGCTGTGGAAGAGAGTGCGGGCCAGGTCGCAGCAAGATTAGAGGAAGTGATGTAACTAACCATAAGCCGACCATCCTGACTCAGGAGTCTCCTATAGGAAGGGTTAACCTGCAATAAACTCAGTGCAGCAAGCAACATGCACCTTGAAAAAAAGAAATTAAGTGTGCTCCCCCCACACACACATCCTCTTCTCAGAGGAAAGGAGGATGCTGACGTTGCCGTTTGGCTGTGTTGAGCCGTGTTCAAGGTCCCATCTGGGTCTCGTGTCTGGGATCAATTACAGGATACAACAGAGAGTAGATTTATGATCTGATACAAAGAAACAGGGACTCTGAAAACATGCTTATGATAGGGTCTCCAGTTTTCCTCCGCTCAATGGGGCTTAATCTTTGCTCAACTTATATTTGTTGTTCTTCAATCAGATCCCTATTAGCTTCCACATATTGGTCACCGGTCTGTATGGGTACCGTACACACTCAAAACTAACAACCGGAGATAAACAACAGCTGAGGGTTACACAATCAATCACAGAGACCAAACTGCTGGCAAAGGCAGCCATTGTAGTCAGACAAATCCACAGGAATTCACTTTCACCCCA